CGGAGGAGAGAATCCCGCGGCCGCGGAGCCCTGCTGCAGCTGTAATCTCGCAGCCTCGGAGCTTCCTGCGGCCGCGGAGGTCACGACCAGAATTTTAAAAGCTAGATTTTGTTCGTTTTTTTCAAGGACTTTGCATTGGGACTCGTTCCCAGACCAAAGAAATCCCCCAAAAACCCATTTTTCCCCTTCTCTTACCTTTAGAACACCATCTTGATCTTGTTTTTCACTTGGATTTCTTCATTACTCGGATAATCTTGTATTTCAGATTCAACTCTCAATTCCGTTTTAATCGTAAGTTTTCTATTCATTTAATCCATGATATGAGTGCTTTGATTGTTGTGGTTGATGGTGTTGAATTGAATATGAGTGGCTAAACTCTATTGCTAGGGATAGGGGATGATGTTTTGGTTTCGTTTGTGATTATTGTGTTCGTTGATTGTTCAATTCATACGATTTATTCTTAAATAGGGTTTTCGATGATTATGCTTGAATGCTAAAAATTGTTGAAGGGTGACACTTCAATCTCCGATTGATTTTCAATTGAATTTGATTCGTTCTTGCGTGATGTTGTTAATTCTAAATGGACTAATTGATTAACCATCTTCTAGGATAATTTAATCGGCTCTTAGAACCGAAAGGGGAGGAACCGATCGATCTAGGCTTGTATAAACTAGGCTTGTTCGTAACTGTATTGCCTAGGTGTTAAACGAATCGTTAATTTGCCGTTCACGTTTGTTCTCTTATTACGAAAAGTTATTGAGGATGAATCTCTGAACGAGTAGGTTATTCGAATAATTTAACCGAACAATCACTTGCCCGTTAACTGCAATTCGAACCGAAACAAATATTCCCGATTTCCTAGCATCTTTATCGTTGTTTGTTCAAGTTTTTGAGTTAATTTATGTTTTATGCATTTACTGCTATTTTCTAGTTGACAGTTCAATCCCCAATCGTGATTAGAGTGTTTAGGATTTATTTTGCTTTTGTGTTCGATCAACATCGAATCTAGATTCCGAACTGCCTTCCTTGCGAGATCGACCTGGGGAACGAATCATTCGATTTGGTACTCGGTAAAAATAACAATTTGTGCTACAACATTTACCATCTTTTTATGTTACAATCTTCTATTATTACTATAATTATTATTATTATTATTATTAATCCACCATATCTAATTAATGCTAAAATATTTCATCGCACTTTTTTTAAGATTAATTAAGACAAAAAACCGTTACATTTTATATTAACGGAGTAATAATTATGCTATTTTATTATATCATATAATAGTCTATTATTAAAACTAAAAACTATAGTTTACACTAAATGATATATGAAAGTTACATAGATATAAAAAATTATTGTAAACTTTTTGCTAAAATTATTTATCCTAAAATTAATATTATATTCTTTTATCTTATTTAGAGATGATATTTTTAAATAAGTTAATTTATTTTAGTGTTATAGTAAAATTCCTTAAAATCACATAATCAAATGTTATAATAAATTTAATATTTTTAAGCTAATAAATTTGCGATCTCTCAAAATTACATTATTTATTATATTTTATGTAATTAATATAGTGGTTCATATGCAATCAAATAGTTATGTANNANNNA